AAGGAAGGAAGGAAGGAAGGAAGGAAGGAAGGAAGGAAGGAAGGAAGTCAAATGGGTGCCAAAACTTATGAACAAGCTTCTAAAAATTCTGACAAAGGTTTCTCAACCTTGCTAAAGTTTTTTAGCTTTATTATTCTGTTTTTAGTTAGACGCTTATGTGAACTAACCTTGCCTCTACTTTTTTGAAAGAAACAGAATAATGTAATAGATACTATTGTCTTGAAAACAATTAAGTGAGGCTTAAAACATATATGGCTGTGTCTACATTACAATAAAGATCTGCAACACTTGATAACTTCTGTTGGGATTGATTTAGCAGAGTGAATTTGAGGAAATTAATGAAATGGTAAATGATGTAATCTTGTTAAAAGCTTGGGCTTATCTTGTCATCCATTTAGTTGGGTTATGCTTTTTCTAGGTATGTTAAAATTATAATATAGACTAATAACCTCAGTCAATTCTAAACCACCTATGATAATTTACTAGGAGATTACCCAGCCAGCTTATTTCATGTCACCAAAGTGTAAGGAATTCAAAAAGTAATGGTATTGCCAACTATATAGCCAGGCCCTGGGCAATGAAAAAATGAACAATATATATGAGTTGATCTCATCCTTTGAAGTCAAAACTGCTTTTTTAAAGCAGCAAATTTTACTTTGAAATATACTGTACTGCAGGGCATAGACGCCATTTCGCGTAGCAATTTCCTAGAGGTTACAGGCTAGTATTGATTGTTCTATATGCAAATTTTAATTTGCTGTTCCCTCAGTAGCCCTGTGATTTATTTAGGCAGAGATCTTGGTTGAAATAAGGCCAAGCACCTCTTTTGTGAGAGGCAATATAAGTGAATGCTATAGTCACCAACTGGAGTAACCCAGGAATTCATGAAGCAATTCATAAATCATTAAAAAATATCCACTAAAGTCTGTAAGAAAGAAGGCCTGTCTGGCAATACAAAATGTGCTACAATCAGTTGGAAGGCTTTCTTAGATTAAAAGATCTAACTGCACAATAGTTTCTAGAAGATTTTGTTTTGTCTGTTACTGGGTGACAGTTACAGCTATTCTTCATGAACTCAGGTAAATTTTGCAAAAAAAGAAAAACCAAACAACTTAAAAGAAAAATTTCAGCTGTTAGACTAAAAAGAAGTTTTAGAAGTTTAGACAATAAAGTAATCTATCTGCAGTATCCTGATCCCTCAACACTAACAAATGATTGTATGAATGCAGCTAAAGTGGATGTATGGTTGTACATTTGTACAAGCTAATTGAGACATTAGTTTCTTGTTCAAAGCACTAAACGCAAAATGTACATTCTAAAGCTAAGTGAAGATCAAAACCAAGGACATGACATTTCTCTACTCATGGCAGTGAAGAAATATATGAGTTTTTCCTGAGGATTTCTCTCTTCTCGGCCATGTTTGCAAAACCAACATTGGTTTATAGGGAAAGCTTCACAGCCTCCATTTCCCCTTGTGCTCTACTCTACCAAAAATGGTGTGACTTTCTCTTCCTTCTCAGTATTTTCCCATGGGGCCAATCAATTCCACCATGTAATATTTGGAAGAGAAGGTAAATATCCAACCATTTTAAACATGTGCCTTTTAAAATACAATTACCTTTATTAAATCGAATGAAAAGTCTTAGTTTCTTTTCTCTGAGGCACTGTATACTAATATTTAAGAACTTTGCACTTTAAAAAAATATTTTTTCCACACTGTGACCCTGGGAGAATATATTAAATACTTTAAGTAAATATTACCTTTTGAGCAAGACATCTAACTACCGCTTTGTAGTGTATTATTTCTTAATATCTCAGGGTTTCAGTTTCTGTTCCTTTCTCTCCCCCCCCCCCCCCCTTATTGTATAAGCCCTGGGAGAATTCTTCCCACTCCTTTCATGCAGAAAAGAACATCACAGCCTTCAACCACCCAGCAATTTGGAGAAGCGCATTTGAAGACGAATGGTTCGTTGAGCAATCCTCCTTTCCAGCCAAACAGCATCCAAATCCAAGGTAAGACAGAAAGCTACCTTAATACCTTCTGTTATTTCTAGTGAGGAGATAAAATGAAAATTGGTTCCTTCCCTGAAGTACCACAAGGTATAAGATGTCAAAGGAATCACTGTAGGCCTCTGAATGCTCCAGATGTATATTTGCATTGCAACCAATATTTAAAAAAAAAAACTAACAAAATCAAGTGAAGGTAAAAACATAACTTCTGGAAGATTTCATTTTTTTCCCCTGGGCATTTTGTTTTGGAAGGGCTGGAAACATTAAACATTTTTGAAAGACGGCCTTTTCCTTTGGAGGGAGAGGGTGGGATCAGCCTTTCACTTCCCCTTTCTTCCAGGCTGTATTTTGTCTTCTTTTGGAGTCCTCGAATTACAATCGCCATTGAGATCAAAATTTCCTTTGCTAAGCAAGGCAGTTGTTAAGTGAGTCTTGCCTGGTTTTACAACGTTTTTTGCCATGGTTTTTAAAGCAAATTGCTGCAGTTCAGTGAACTGAATCGTGCAGTCATTAAGGAAGTCTGGCTTCCCCCATTGAGTTTTCTTGTTGAGAAGGTCACAAATGGTGATGTGGCCCCGAGACACTAAGACCATTGTAAATACAAGCCAGATGTCAAAGTCTGAATTTTGATCACATGACTATGGGGAGCTGCCACTCTCTGGTAGCTCTGATGGCATCTCCCCTGTGATTGTGTGTTCACACTCCAAGAGATGTCTTCCAAGTGACAGCAAAGAACAGACGAAGCATCTCCCCTTGCCTTCTCTGGAAGAGAAAGGAACTTAAGCCCTGAATTAAGATATAGAGCAGCTGTAGGAGATTCCAGACAGTCTTGTTTCGCCAGACTCCAGATCTAACATATTCACTGAAAGAGGCCAATCTTCATTACTAATCTTTAATCAGGATGTGTGGGAAATAGTCTTAAGAAGTACTTGAAACGCTGATTTATTCACAGTGTCAGGCTAGTCTTTAAATATACACAGGTGTTTCAGTAAAATTATAAAAAGAATGTATGTTTGTGCAGTGGGGGGAGGAAGAGTAGTCTACATGTGAAATGTGGAGTGAATGTTGAAGCAGTACACATTGAAGTCTCTGGATAAGGAACACCATTTTTCCGAAATGGAGCATAGTTACCCAACCAGAATGAAACCTGAAAGCGTTCTCCAGTTCAGATTTGATTTTATTGTACACAGTCTGATAAGTGGCATGGCAAGCTAATGCAATTCCATTCTCTGGGTGAAGAAAGGAAGAAACTCATTGTTTAAAAATGGTAAAACCAACTTTACCTAATGTCATGCAATATAGTCTTCTAAAACACAAATGTGTTGGGAGATAATCAGGGGTGGGATCCGACAGGGTTAACTACTGGTTTGGTGATTTATGATGTGCTTCCCTGCAGGCTGCTCGCCCGCATGTAAATCTTCGTCAGCTTGCTGCCTGGACAGCTGAGCAGCGCTGCGTCCAGGGAAGCAGCGTTTGAAAAAGCACTTTTTTCCTGCTTTTTCAACCGCAGCTGTGCCTTGCACGGCAGCTGAGGTTGAAAAAGCAGGAAATAAAGGTCAGCTAAGAGCCTGGGCGGGCGGGTAGGCCAAAACAGCAGCAGACATAGAACCGGTTCTGTGTCTGCTGCTCTTCAGAGCTACCGGTGCTACAGAGCTGGACAGAGCCGGTAGAATCCCACCCTGGAGATAATCCATTTATTTTACTCACTGAAAAAAACCAATTTGTATTACAAGTTGATTTTGTTCTGTCAAGTATAAGCCATTGCCAGTTCAGATCCTGGGAATTCCTTCGGAATGTTCCTAGGTAAAAGCAACAATGATGAAGTTTTCCAGGAAATGAATTTTCTAGAAAAAATAATGCATAGGGTTAGCTACTGAAGTTAGTCCCAGAGAAGGAGAGGGTTTAGAGGGAATGAAAGTTGTCGACATATTTCAGTTTTCAAGGGAAACTTCCTTCATTAAATCCACCTTTGGTAATGCCCCAAGACTACAATATACTGGAGATGAGTATATTCTGTTTTTCCTTTCAGCTGAGAGTTTCAGAAGGAAATGCAAATGTTTCTGGAGTCAATAGTTAGAATTTGCCCAATAATTATTTCAAACAAATTGGATATTTTCAACTAAACAAAGCTTTAAAGCTAGAAAGGATGAAGATTCTTGCTGGATTTGTCTGTCTCTCTGTTTATGTATGTGTGAGTGGATGACTGAGCGTTTGTGTTTTGTTAAAACTGAAATTCATTTTCTACCCCTATTTCCAGAATTAGCTGGATTTTTGTCTTCCCAGATTCCTTTTTTCAAATAGCCAAATTGTTTTCTCTATCTCCAGTTCTCTCCCCCTCCAGAAAATGGGGGTCCTCTACTTCTAGATAGATTTTACCTATAGTAAACATCTGTCTAGACAGTGAAGAAATATCCTTTCGTGACTAATCACTACAAAATGATCAGCTTAAATGAATTTCTCCTTCCTGAACAAATCAAAAATTACAGTCCTCTTGCATATCCCTTGAATGTCTTTGTTTTTCTATCCTCCATGAAATCTCTTTTATGAAATCAGACACCAATTGCAGCGACTGACATTTGAATGCAATTATTTTATTATTAGAAGTGTGTATGTAGGATAATTGAAGCAAGAAAAAGGTTAATATGCTTTTTATTCTTTCCAACCCAAAGAAATGTACGAAAATTATGTAAAGAGGGTCAGGACTCCATCTGTCTGTCAGCAGCATAATGCTCCAAAGCGGAACGGAAGAGGACCTCTTAATAGCAGCTCTTCTGTGGGTCATAGGCAGCCTGTCCTGGGCTTCCCAGTGTGCACATTATGCACACGCACGTACAGACAAAACACATTTCTTAGTTCCCCGGAAGAAATTACAGACTCCTTGTATTGCTACGGCTCGTAAAGAGGTCGAAATGAATTCCAGAAGCCATACTTTGCACGAATTCTCCACCTTGGTTTGCTAGAATAATATAATAAATACTAAAATTATATTCCTCAGATTTGAGTTGTACTCTCCCAGAAATATTCAGCTGCTTCATTGTTTGGTTGCTCTGCTTTTGTTAGGTCAACGTTTTTCTTAGCATAGAAGACTCCTAATTCCAACTAATAAGCTTCCTTGAAGTTGATTCTGAGTAAACATCACAAGATTGCATTCGAAGTAGAATAACTTTCCTTAATGATACCTAGCTTCTGAAGAAGAAAAACTATTTAGGAAATAATGGTGAATAATCCTGTATCCAATTGCTGAATATTCTACAGCTTTTGTAAAATACATATATATAGCTAAATATACTTTAAAGTATTTAAAACAGAATATTTTAGTCATCATAATGCATAACACACACAGAGAGAGAAATATCCCAGATTTTAAACAAGAATATATTGTTACCCAAAACATGGGGATTGGGTAAAAAAAAAAAATAGTGCGTATGCTTTTGTACCTTATTGTGTTCTCTTTCTGTCTCCCTCCTTTCCCCTCATTAATGTGCTTATTACTAGATACTGAGATGTACTACTTGTATATGTGCAAAACGAACAAGATACAAGAGTAATCAAACACATGGAAGGATAGGTTAGGTATTTGTTAAATGTATATCCCACATTGTTGCCAACAGTTTGAGAGTGTGATTTCCATATCAAAATATGCATCTAGGGTCAAGATAACATTGTACCAATATAAGAGGCATTAATGGCTATGTAATGCTAGAACCTGGTATACCACTGTGGAGAAAATGACGTTAGTCAAACTTTAAGCAAATTACAAAACATGAAAATTGTTTCTCAGGAAGATTATATTTTGGTCAAAGTTCTGGAAGCCAACTGCAGCTTAAACAATGACTCCAATGACAAAATCAGGAAGACTGTTAAACACTGAATTTGAGCCTCTGCCAAATGAGCCTGTTGAGGTCTTTTCCCAAAGCTATGTGAGGCCTAGATGGGGAGGAACTAAATCGGAGTCAATCCTATTTGTGGAAATCAGGGTCTCCTGGAACTGAGGATTTTCCATCTCTGTTCTTGTACAGCACTTCCCCATTTAAGAGTGGTGAGGAATCTCAGGGTCCTCGGACACACAACTTCTTCTGACAGAGCAGGTACCAGTTGTAGCCAAGGGGGACTTAGCACAGGTCTACCTGGTGTGCCCCTTCCTGCAGCAGCAAGCCCTTATGCCCCAGTCTCCTCAACGCTCAACTGCTACAATGAGCTGCACATGAAGTTGTCCATGACAACCATTCAGAAGCTTCAGATGGTCCAGAAATGTTACTTTGATTTAGATTTTGCCTTGATATGCCCAAGAGAGATGCTCCTCCTGCAGGGTTGCATGTGTGTTTCTGGATGTCTTTTTATGATTTATTGTCAGCTGCCCTACTCATTGGTGATACCTAACTGGAATTTGAAAAAAAAATAAAGTTTAACTCTGATGAGATTCCCAATTTCTGGGTCTTAAGTTAAACTATCTCTGCCTTTGTTTGTAATCTGCTTCTGTTTCTTTCTTTTCTTTTTTTACCATTTTCCTATACACTTCCTCTGATGCACATGCTATGTTAAGTTTCATTGCAATAATCAGGAAGTATAGAACAGGCTACACTTGAATTCTGGCTTGTCATTAGACTGGGAACTATGATTTAGCATGCAATGAAACGCAGACCAAACCAATTATTCCACCTTCTTGGGATGTGGCTGTTTTTTTCAGAATCCGAAGTGAGAACAGGTTTAGGAAACATTGCATCTCTAGTAATGAGGTCATTTTCACCATTATAGAAGTCAAGAGAAGAGATCAACTTTTGCAAAGGTCAACATAGCTGTTCTCTCTGCTTCCCTTCTATTCCACTGCAGCAGCAAGGGCCAACAATTTCCCAGCTGGTATAATCTCTATTTCCCAGCCTAGCTCTTATTCACTTGATATAGCATGGTGCATGATGGCATTTACTTAAGGATTTTCTTTTTCTGGCTTGCTAAGCATGATATTTGCTTGTACACTTTATATACACATTATTCTTGCATCACAAGGCATCTAAAGTTTATATTGGTAAATGGAAACCTGGCTACTGATTGTTCCCAAGTATTTTTAAACATTTTCATTTGTTCTTTTACCTGCGGAAGACTTTTCAGTACAACGTTCCCAAAGTGTGCTCTGCAGTAGAAGATAGCTTAGAAATAAGTTTAAGTTGCTTGGTGTTACAAGTTTTGAGTTCCTTCACACTTGACTATTTTGTTATTGACAAAAGAACAGAGTGAATCCATTCTTGCCTGTCAATTCTTCTCCCGAACAACATCCTTAAGGGTTAAATGAAAGAATAACTCCACTAGATCCAGTATTATGCAGTATGAGAAAGGCAAGTATGTTGATTAGAATGTATGTTCTTTCAAATATAGATACTATATTTGAATAAAAACTTTGAAGCATAGTCCTTTGATATGGATGGTCCCCAACTAATATTAGAGAATATTCACAGAATTGTATACGCACTCAGCTACAATACATTCTATGGCTTTATCTGACTGCATGATTCTCATTCTTTCTCTCATTCATTTTCTCTCTCTCTCTCTCTCTCTCTCTGTCTTTCTCACACACAGACTGCATTTATGTTTCTTTTCAATCTGAAAATAATTGATTTTTGACTGCAGCACTTAGGGAAACAAGCCTATTTTTCATCTAAAAAAAATTAAATAAAGTTTTATTTTGATATTTATGACATAGAGTTTCCTTGTAGCATCACTCATGCCTGCAACTGGGTTTTGCCTTCTAAAGTAGGTAAAATAATGGCATGAAATAAATGTTTTACAAGGATGAGTTTAAATGGGGGATTATTTAAAAAGAGCAAGTAAACCTCTATCTTATCTAATACAGTAATGATGTTAGTTCTTTAAATAAGGGAAATACCATAACAGAAAACTTGGTATTCTTAGGATGTGAAGTGTTTTCGAGAGGTGACTTTCAAATGTATCATCCTCTTCTAAAAAAAAAAAAAAACAAGTGGAAACCTGCTGAAGTTTAATTTAATATTAAAGGGACATTAATTCTGACAAAATGCATAAATTACATTGTCCTCAGAAGGTTGCTGTGAAGTAACAGACTAGGCCTCAGCGCATACGTTCCTAGTTTTACTGGCTGCTGTCTTATTAGTTGCTGCTGTCAGCGTTCCAAGTAACAACCTCCAGAGAAAAAGAGTTCGAGAATATCATCTTCCCAAAGATCCATTTTTTAAAGAGATGTTATATTGGCACATCTGGGGAAAACCCAAATCTGAAAATTCCTGATTTTCCCTAGCCCAAAGAAAACCCAAAATCCAACCCCTACACCCAATAGTTCATCACATGGTCGAATCATTACTTTGTTCCAACTGGAGACTGTCCCCAGTCACTCCCATCCAGGTGCAGAGTAACATGTCCATGACTTTCTGAGAAAGGAATGTTGTTGTGGCAAATCTTCCACTGCTCCTTGAAATTCTCCTCCCAAATTCCCAGGCACTGAATGTGGCAGCTCAGAACCCTCAAAGAAAAATGACTTACAAGCTGACAGCTGCATTCTGAATCTTTTCCCCCTCTTCTCTGACTTGACTTTGTTGTCCGCTGACATTTCCATGCAATAGATTCTTTAAGAGAAGAATATCAAGATAATAGAAACTATTATCAGGAAGGCATGAAAAAGGCCAGCCAGGATACAAAGTAGTTTTTAGGGGAAAGGGTTAAGAAATCATGACCATAACTCTTCTCCTTTCCCAAGCAATCTCCAGATATTTTTCCCCATGATATCTGAAGTCTACTAAACAAAAGTCTGTGAAATACGAGTTTACTAGACTGTTCCAACAAATAGTAGCCACACTGTTCAAATTTACAATTGAGTCATAGTGGTACTGAAGATGGTCGATCATGAACTAAGCTGAGAATGGGCAAGACTCATCCCCAAATTAGGCCTTTCCAAATACTTTTCTTTAATCCCAAATGATCCAGTAATAAAATGTATTTATGCAAGGTCACCAAAGGTTTTTTAAAAAATAAGTAATTGAGCAATCCCTTCAGCTCCCCAAATAATAATGTAAATTATGAATGTGTGATTATACTTAGTGAGACATTCTTTCTGAATTGCTAATTTCCAAGTACATTTAAGGTTATAAATATTACAGTCGTATTTCTAGTATTTTAATGCACACACATATCTGCACATCCCAAAGGTGTATTTTATTCATGCTGTTCAGAAAAGTTATTAAGAATAACACTAAATATATTCTCTTTGCTCAGCAGTATTTTCAGAAACTTCAGACACCAAAGTCCAACCTTGTGCTAAACTTGTTTTTTTTCCCTGTAAGTCTGGTTAATTGACTGGAAGGCAATCAATTAGTTTGATTTCATTTCACAGAACAACGTTGAATTAGAAGAACATAAAAGAAGCTGTGCTGAAGTAGCCAAATTCTATTGCTTTCCATAGAGCATGCCGTATTTCAGTCCTAGCCACCTGATAATAAGGAAAAGATTAAGTTTCAAAGATTAAACTAGATGTAAAATTAATGTGATTTATTTTTATGTACAATACTCATGAAAATAGCAAGATAATTAATTGCTATGATGGCACATGAATTAGGCCCTAGTAAAGATTTAAAAGTAGCAGGGAATAGTGTGCTTGAAAATGTAAAGTCAAATGGATACATTGGTTTTAATAGAAATGCATTATTTAAGCAACCTTGTTACCTTCTATTTAGGTGTTTATGGGCAACTACAGACTTTCTGCTCCCCTCATTATACTGACAATCAGAGAAATATACAACACATTGGAGCTTGTAATATGGTCCCTCCTTTTGAAGATTGTTTGGTACCGACATCTATGGGTCAGGCGGGTTTTGATGTTTTCCATAAAGCATTTTCAGCACATTCTGGTATTACAGGTATGACAATTACAATATTGTGATACTATTATTTAAAATAAGTACATGTTCTCTTATACATTAGTGGTTCCATAAAGAATTCCTGGAGATAGGTGTGATGAAATTACGAATTGACTTTTCCCCCCCAATTTGAAACTCGGGTCATAACAAGATATACAACTACCCAGCTCCAGAACCTTCATCATTGAAAGTGTGATTCAGTTTTAGTTGAGAACAAAATCACTTCTCACATTATTTTAACTTGTAGAATATTGCTTTATTTCCATATTTATATCTTATCATTTATATCTGAAATGGAAATAATACACTTACACTGAATATATCATAGTTTATATTCTAAACTTTGAACATTATATCATTTCCTATAATTCGATATCATCCTATAGGAACTTTATAACTAGCAAAGTGACCCTCGAGATGCTTGAAGTCTTATAGATTTTAAACCAGGTTCCTGTGTTAAACTGTAAACATTATGATGGAAAATAAATAAATCAGAGGCTAGATGAAAATTTCTATTTGCACTTTCATTACATCACACCACCTGGTATCCTCTCTTCTGATTTTTAAAAAGGCACCCAGCAGACAAAAGACAGCCTCCATATTTTAAGATTGATCCCAAATGCATAATGTTCATGAATGGACTCAGTCACCATCAAACATTCAAGTAGTAGGAATATTTATGAAAACCAATAGAAAAAGATTCTTGATAAATTCTACAAATTAATAACTAAGTACCTTGATTCTGTATTTACATTTAATATTTCTAATGTTTATTCTTATGTCTTACCTCTGTAAGATAAATTGGTTTTATCACTACTATGGAAGCATTAATTGAGGCTGACCGAGAGTAGCTTTCTTAAAATCACACATTCAGTTCAGGGCAGAGTATTCTGAAAGCATAGTGTTCTAGAGTCACTCTCTGTCACAGTCACTTGCAATTTTCTCTTCACAGTTTTATCTATTAATGATGAAACATATGTGTATTAACTTTAATAATGACCTTTCCTAGTGTTCTCAAGACTTTCATAGGGTCACAGGCAAATACAGGAAATTTTAACAGTTAACAGTAGATCTCCAATTTGCTAAATAGAGAAGGAGCAGGTACAGAGAAAAGTAAACATCAGTTCAAGTTAGAGCAGAGAAACAGAAAGCAGAGATTCTTCGGTGCCTCGATCCCTGTCCTATCCCTGTTTCAAATTGCTGACAAAACACTTTCCTTCAGCATTCTCAGTTTTGACAGTGTTTCTTCTCTTAACATCCCTTTCTCTCCTAACACAGATGTGCCTAAGGAATTCCACAATTGCTTGCTGCCATTTTTTTCTGTCTAAAATCAGTTTTCCAGGTTAAGCTGGACTAATGTCTAAATATCTTCATTTTTCTCCAGTGTATGATTTCCCAATGGCCTTTGGTGACTCATTGCGCAGTGGGATGGAAGATGCAAGTTTCCTCCATATAAATGCTGTGGATCGTTGTCCTAGTCAACTGTCTTCACTTTATATGGAAGGCTGAGGATGCATAGCTTTGCATATCATCTCAACCCTTCAGCCTATTACAGATCGTCTTCCGTTGGTCTCTGAAATGACTTGCTCAAGAAATAAAGAAAAACATCCCCAGAAAGATTCACAGCTGCAGCTAATACAAGGTGTTGCAAGATGTTGGTTAACATGTATTTGCCAAATGTGAGCAATTGCTTTTAATTTGGCCTTTTCTGTTGCATAACCATTTCCAAAAGAAAATGATTACTGCACTGCTTAGTATAATTTTAAATGAATTGTTGGAATTTTTAAAACTCTCTTGGAGTAATTCTAAAAACGGTCGACGATAAACTTCTCCCCAAAGCAGATTTCTAAAATAAAGAACCTGTCTTGCAGTGCTTTGAAATCTGAGCACGTAATCTCACAGGATGGAGAGTGAAAAGGGAATGTATTTTTTGTGACATGATGTTGGCGACAGCAATACAATTTGAGCTTCTTTTCAGCATCCAGTATTAACCGTTAGCTTAAAGAGATGTGTTGGCGATTTTTTTTTTTTAGCCATGCTCACCTGAAGAGAATTTATTCTACTGGATTTATATGCATTATAATTTAATGTTTATGTTTTATGTGATGATGGATTCTCCATAGAAAATTTTAAAATGCAGATGTACAGATTTAGAATAGATATTCTCCATTAATGCTAGCAGATCATTAATGTCATTTTGATAACTTTCACAATGTTTGATATGCATGTGAGAAAGATAAGAGCAGTGATCTGAATTAGTGCTGTGTTGCAGGGAGAGGAAAGCCAATTCTCCCCTCCCTATCGGTCCTCCCACTGAAACTGAGTTTATCTTTCCTATCTGCTATGCTAATTGTACCACTCAAGTGGAGAACCAAATACAGGAAAAGAAATTGGGAAGAAACTGAGGATTTCCACTGAAGAAGAGGAGAAGAATCAAATATCTTCTCCCCATTTTGAAGTTCTAATCAAAAACATATCAACCTAGCATGTCATTTCAGATCTTTGAGGAGGTCACGCATAGTTAACATTGAGAAATTTTGTACATCTGTGAGAGATCTTTCGTACTTTATTCATCATGTATTTTTCCCACATTAATATTGCACATACTGTATGCTAGTATACAAATCTGATGGGGGTTTTTCCCTACTTTTTGTCCTCTTTTTGCTAAAAGCAGTTAGCACATCAGGTATTAACTCCATTGCAAAGGCTTTTGTGTTGTTTTTGAATGGTTATAAATATGTTTAGAAAGTGAAATGTGGATTTGCCTTTTAAGGTATGGTCTTTGTCATAGATCCAGAGACATATAACTCAAACAGCAACCTTTTTTGTTCATTGTTTACTTGTGGCTTGTTCAGTCATACTGTGGCCAACTCATTTGAAGAATTTCTCACTATGCATTTGTCTTTGGTAATGACCTGTTATCACTAAAGAAAAAAAAATCTACTATCATCTAAATCGGGGTACCCAATCCCCAGGCCGTGAACCAATACTGGTCTGTGGCCCCTTAGGAACCGATCCATGCATCTGCACACGTGCGGGATGTAGGTAGTGCATGAAACCATCCTCCCCCTCCCATGGAAAATTTGTTTTCCACAGAACTGGTCCCCATGGTCAAAAAGGTTGAGGACCACTGCTCTAAACTCTTGGAAGAAATTAATGATTCTTTGGAAGCTTGAAAATAAGCAAATTTTCTTTTCTGGGCTGGCTGGGATGGGACTGCCCATCGGTTCTTCAAAAGCATTTATATCCATGGTAGGGAAAACTGTACACTGGAGTTAATATAAATGCCACCTTTTTAGTACTGTTTAATACTATCATTACAAAACTTATTTTTTTAAAAAATATTGTGTTTATTGCCCATGTTTTGACTGTGCCATTTCATAGTAACTTGCTTGTTTTGTAATTTGTAAAACCAGCACTTTTTATGTGTATTTGTATTTAAAAATGCAGATAAAATCAAAGAAATGAGTTTTAAAGTTAACAGGTATTTGAACACAAAGTAAAGTGTCTTGTATAATGTTGTTAATGCAAAGCACTTTGGGAAGAGAAGAAGGTATATGCGAATGTGTTTTCTATCAATCTTAGAATTTTTGTACATATTTTTATATGCTCCTTTATAGAGAGTTGAATTTCTTATCCCATGTTGTACATTTGGCTGATTTTGCTATAGTTGGCGTCTATTTGTTTTATATCATATTCCCTAAAAAAAATTAGTGTGACCTTTTCTATTAATATGTATGTTTTGTGATTGGTTATGATTAATTTTCATATAATGGTAAGTTATTTTTTGCCTTGTTTTATGAAGTCTTTTTTTAATATGAAAGGTGAAATGAAGGGTTTGTGCACATAATAAACACAATAAAATAAAACTGAAAACGTGTAACACACCAATCAGACTCCAAAACCTTATTTCAAGATCTGGCTTAAAAATAAAACTTACCTGACCATTCTATTTCATCACAGGGATTGGTCATGGGTTTAGCTCATTTATATAATTAAAGAAAGACAAAGGAAAACGGAAAGAAAGGAAAGATGTGATCCCTGGGTGCTCTCTGAACTTGGTCGTTTTCTTGCAGACGTTTCATTATACCCAACTAGGTAACATCATTAATGTTAGAAGGGAGTGGGGTTTGCACTCGATTTTTATACCCTATTCTCTTCTAGCACTGATAAGGTAACCCAGTTGGGCAATGAAACATCTACAAGAAAGCAATCAGGCTCAGAGAGCACAAGGAGTCCACAGTTTGACCCTGAGCTATAAACATTCTCTTCTATTGCTGTCTGTGGTGTGTTTGGGGGCAAGCATTAGGATCATCTGATAATAACTATAAAATCCAAATGAAGAGGAAGAACTCACAAGAAGAAAAAAAGAATACTTTTAAAAGTAATTTTCACTTTGGAAAACTATGTCCAGGAAGTATAATGGTGTATTGCAGTGTTTAATTTTTCTGCACATAAACATACATATAGATGAGTAAATTTTAATTCTATCATCAGGTGATTATTATCTACGTATCAGAAAGAAGAGAGAGAGAGAGAGAATTTTTTTGTCTCGCGCATGATCTTCATGACAGAATAAAGTATTGGACTATTAAAATTTTCTTCTAAGGTCATGTTTTAAACAATAACTAATATTGCCTAAGACAAAACTTCCTGGAGTGCAGAAAGCTTCTTTATCATTATCAGGACAAACCATGATAGAAAACACCTCATGAGACACTCCTCAGTTGTTTCTCATGTGGGTCTGAACCAATGCCTGGAGATGGTCTTGGCTTTCCTGTATCTTGAGCCTCTCTACTTAGAGGTAAACCTCCTTGTTACCAAGAAGGGTAAGTTTGGGAAAGGACGAAGAAACCTACCAAAATAGATGATTTCCTGAGAATCCTATCCTTGTATTGTCTTCAGAATCTCAGTTACACACAGTCTGAATAAATCTTCCCTTTTAAGACAGTAACAGAACTCAATCCTTAATGTTTCCGTATCTCTCTCACTATAACCACATTTTAACCGATCATTTTAAACACTGAAATAAACTGGCCACAGTGATTTAAAAAGTAAGGGACACCGCTCTGCTCTGCAGAGAAGGACTTCTCCTCAAACTAATCAACGTTATACCTTGTCATAACATCTTTGCTTTAATTCACAACATGTTGAGTGACGGGATATTTCAAGTTTTCACTGAATTCAATAAAAACAGATAAGTTGAATAATGGATTAATTGGCTTTGGTTTATTCCACAATTGAATATTGTCCAGTGTGTGGCTTAATTGCATTCACACTCAAATGGTTGATGTCCAACTCCAACAGATAATGTGTATCATCTCTGGCACATTGCATCCCACTCCTGTGCACTGGTTACCAGTACTTAGTAATATCATACTCCCCCACATTAGAAGATAACAAGCTTTAATTTAGCGATGGTCAAGGACGCGGAACAACAAAGCCCTCTCTATTCATCAGGACAATGCACAGCCCATCATAAGATTGAAATCCCATAGGCCAGCTTGGAAAACAGCTATTCACTTAAAATCTATCCAGTTTAACTCCAAGAATGCCTGGAGAGAGGAATGGTCCAAAGTACTTTCTTGTGACCATTAGTGATCCTTTTGCCAAATTATCTGGTTTTGACCTTCATTTTTTCTAGTCAAAATTGAACCAAATTACGTGTGATACTAGAAGTACCTCGGCCTTGTATCAGTGGGGATGGAAAGACTCCCCTTGTGATTGTAGTGCTGATATGCAAAAAAAAAAAAAACATATTGTGGAAGATTGTCCATGATGTGTATTCTCTTGTTCTCTAGAAGTTTTGCATGAAGCAGCAACCCCAGAGGCATATTTAAGAACCTGGGTTGTTGAATTGGACATTCAGTTATGAGACCACTCCCATACTCCCGTAGAAGTTTTGCTTAGAATGACGTGAACTGTGTAAGCCGCTATACCTAGACAACCTTAAATAGAACACATCTGAATGCAAAGAAAGAATATAGTATGATAATGGGGTGGCTAAGCCATTGTTTAATTATTTACTGCATTGATAAATTCATCTACAGCATAAAGAAAGACAGAAAGAAAGCCTGATGGTGCAGTGGTTAGAGTGCAGTACTGCAAGCTACTGCCTCTGCAATTTGGCAGATCGAATCCCACCAGGCTCAAGGTTGACTCAGCCTTCCATCCTTCCGAGGTGGGTAAAATGAGGACCCAAATTGTTGGGGGAAATAGGCTGACTCTGTAAACCACTTTGAGAGGGCTGTAAAAGCACTATAAAGCTACATATAAGTCTAAGTGCTATTGCTATAAACACATTTATCATATATTAATTGTATTTAAGAATCACCCAGCTCACATAAAATAAAACTGTAAACATCAGAAAACAACAATGGTATCAAAACAAAGATTATCATGCCCACAGTCCTCTATAAGATAAAAAAGAAAAGAGAGAGAGAAAAAACAACCATCCTAAAAAAAAGGAAGTTCTAAAAAAAATTAGTCAAATTTCCTGACTCACTTTTACAGGAATAGGGATGTTTATTTTTTTCAACTTTTACGTAGTCTAGCCCTTTTCACAATTCTTAATTTATCTCTTCCCTCTACATTCTATTCAGTCGAAACGTTATTTGAAAATCAGATGTAGAAATCATTCTACCAAATCTTCTTGTGCCATTTATAGATTTGCAGCCAAAGTAAATTTCCCAGACTGTCAGTATCATTAATGATTTACAAAAGGAATGGACTAGTTTAGTGAATTGTGACAAAGCAGTTTTTATGTTCCTACTATGTTCCCAATACACCTTTGAAGTAACTAGAAAATAGCAATTCAGACATTATTTCAACTGTACAATATGTGTATATGTGGGTAATTTTATTCCTGGTCTTTGGGAAGAACTCAATAGATGGATAGAATAGAATAGAATAGAATAGAATAGAATAGAATAGAATAGAATAGAATAGAATAGAATAGAATAGAATAGAATAGAATAGAATTCTTTATTGACCAAGTGTGATTAGACACACAAGGAATTTGTCTCAGGTGCATAAGCTGTCAGTGTACATATAAATACCAAATCTAATTTAAACATCTGGCTAGCTGTGCGAGCAACCCCCTAGCATCGAGCCATTGGATAATTCCATGGATCCTTTAGGCCAATGTTGGGGACTGGTCCAGAACTGACCATTTTGGAGAACTCTGCTCTTAGACCAGAGGTGGTATTCAGCAGGTTCTGACCATTTCTGGAGAACCGGTAGCGGACATTTTGAGTAGTTCAGAGAACCAGCAAATACCACCTCTGACTGGAGACTTTACAGCAGAGGTGTCCAACCTTGGCAACTTTAAGACTTGTGGACTTCAGCTCCCAGAATTCCCCAGCCAGCATGGCTAATTGAGGAATTCTGGAAGTTGAAGTCCACAAATCTTAAAGTTGCCAAGGTTGGACACCCCTGCTTTACAGTATCCTTTCCCACCAAGCCACGCCCACAGAACCGGTAGTAAGAAAATTTTAATCCCACCACTATCTTAGACCCAACTTGAACACCGCTTTTTAAAAATGACTTTAACACACTTCTTTTTAGAAAGAGATGACGTAAAAGGCAGCAAACACTGGCAACATTCATTCCATAGTCTTCCTGGTCCCATTCTGTGCCTACCCAGCCCCAATAGTTCCTTCTCTATAAATGTTTGTCATGTAGATGTCAGGAAATGCATGACTGCACTCAAGCCTATTGGTGGGTTCCAATTTTTATTATTCATGATTGTATGCAGGCATTCCAGGCATGCCCTTTTGAACCATGACTCAAATAAACTAGCAATGGACCAAAGACAGAGGAGGAAGGAAGGAATGAGGGGGGGGGGAGAGTAAAATGCATGGCAAAAGAATGATGCAATAACATGCCTCCTCAAGAGGCCACATTCTTTTGTGGGCCTTTGTATTGTTTTTAGTGTGATGTCGAGTGTTAACCATGCCATGCTGGGGAAGGTTAGGGATGCTAATTTCCAAGCACATGCTGCAAATATGAAATACCGTATTATTCACCACACAAAAAGGCAAACACGTTCATCAGTTACTTGTCCGATCCTAATATTATCTAATTCTTTCCTCTCCCTTTGCTCTCCCTTGAAAAGTGATTTACCCATCAGGAAGAAGATATGAAAACTCTAAAATAATGTTGGGGTGTGTATTAGGGATGAAGCAAAGTACAGTTCCCCCAAGCCTGGTTGCCCTATCCAATCTGGACAAAGTCCAAGAAATGTCTAACTGTGTTGCTTCAGAAGCCAAAGACCCAGTAACATAATTACTATTGATCTGCAGGAGATGAACGTGTGACTGGGCTGTTAATCAGTAAACAAGTCGAATGCAAAGATAGGATAAAATGCTGTCTAAGGTTTTAAAGCATTCACATGGCTCAAGAAATTTCAAAATTCCTGAATGAGAAGGTGATTTGCAGATCAGAGGTTTAGTTTGATCCAGTATTCTACCGTAATAAATGTGAGTAATGTCTACCTTTGCTGTGTCTTCATTTCTTTGCTCCTTTTTGCTTCCTCGGTGTTGTCGGTGCAAAGTTTTCTAGTAGAACCAATTTCTTCAAATCACTGGAGGGGATTCTGGAGGGCTGAATTCTTTTATGGGATACGTGCTTATACAAAATTGTTCGCTAATGTGCAGCCTCTGATCACACTACTTTGGACTTTGGGCCAAAAAAGAATGACTTGCATTGCTGCAGGAAATTTTTTTGTACTTGTTTGGCCACTGTTGTTCTATGTTGTTCTATAGAACAACAGATTTAGCAAGACTCTTTAAGTTCTTCTGCCTGGTCATAGGTTTTCCAAAGAATCTTATGGATGTTAAGAATAGTAAGAAGGTGGAGCATGACTGTGA